TGTATCCTCCAGGGTTACTCAGCTGGAACTCGAGTTAGTGTTAGAGGTGAGTGACAAGTAAAAGTTCACCCCTAGTCAAAAGCCAAACAACTAGCAGGTAGAAGCACGAAAAGTTTTATGATCCAGATAATCAAGTGTTACTACTCCGACCGGTACTGAAAATTTTACTATTAAAGTTCTTACCAGGTGGCAAATAATTTTAAAAAATGAGGTTATTTTCTGCCTTGAAGCTCAATTTACTGTACTTTAGGTGTATGCAGTCGGTACACTGAATCACACTGACACAGACCGAATATTTCCGAATTGAATTATAACTAATCATTTTAAATTTATTGGAAACGGCCAATTAAATTTCTTCACGTTGGTTTTGTTATTTAAATCGTTCTGTTGCTCAAAGCTAACTAAACTGCATGCATTTGTTCGGGCCATCTTCAATTGATTCATGCTATATCTTCAGTTCATAGGGTTGTAACTTACTTATGTCTTCTGCGGTATTTTTTCGTCGATGGCTGTAACTGTAGTGAATAACATTTACTACAGACGTAACGATTTCTATCTGTTTTTCGTTCGAGTAGATTTTCTTCCATCTCTAGCTTTTTTTCCAGTTATTTACATGTTTCAATCAATTCCCTGAGATATTTTTGGTACATCGACTTATCGGAAAATCTTGTTGAACACCCTCTCTAAATCATATGAATTGAGGCCGGCCTCGGGGGCGGTGTGGCTCACACCTATTCATACTCGACTAAATAAACCCAGCTTTCCAACGAAGCTGATTAATTTGTATGGTGAGTGGTCTTTCAGGTCAGATGGTAAGAGTACGGCTCTGCCGAAATCTCAAAACCTGATTCAGTCCCCAGCGGCGCAGGCACAAAGTATGTTCTCTGCTGTTTCATCATTTTCCAAACAGATTCGACACACACTATCTTCCGACAGTCCTAGATTCTGTATATGATGATTCAAATGACAGCGCCCTGTGAGAAGGCCTGTTAGAAATTGAAGTCCAACTATAGTCCAACAACAGTTTGGTATCAAGCTTCGAAGGATGAATAAACGCCTTGGAGTGAGCCAATCCTGGAAGATTCTGCCAGAAGTCCGTAAGTCTTATAGCCATCCAGGTATTCAGTCTTTGTTTGGCAAATCCTTAGGCGATGGCAATGACAGGTTCTGGTACGGCACCCTGTTTTGCAAGGGAGTCAGTAGTCTCATTGCCTTCCAAGCCAGTATGGCCAGGAATCCAGATCAGAGACAATATGTCGAGTTTTCCTACCGAGAAGAGTTGCTTTTGTGAATGTGCTACCAATTTAGACGTTGCTCGGAAGGAGCCAAGAGCTTCTAATGCCGCTTGACTATCTGAGAATATTTTATTGACTTGTGTATGACGTTTGTTTCTTTCATTCTCTCCGCACACAATTCAATAGTGTGAATTCTCACTTGAAATACAGTCGCATAGGTTCCTGGGCAGGTTGATATCTCTGTCCTGGGTTTGCAACTGAAAACACCTGCACCATAACTTGAAGGTGTTTTTGATCCATCTGTGAACCAACAACTATCTGTGTTACCAGGGTACTACGACGTGGATTATTTTCTTCATAGATCACTGAAAATCCTGAATCAAATAAAAAACAAAATTGTGCTTTTTGTAAAATACTTTGGTTCAATTGTACTCTGATACGATTCATTCCTGTGAATAATTTCTCCGTCGTTCACAATGCAAACTTTATGCAGTCGTTACCTGTGATAACCAACTTTGGATTCGTTTTAATCTCCTTCTATCAGATTGTTTCAAAAGTTTTGTTCGTTTCAATGAGTCTACAGTAAAAATCTATTCAATTCATTAAAAATCAGCGACATTTGATTCAGTGCACTTTTGTACGAGTCAATTAATTTCGTCAGCATAGAAATTGGGTGCTCGGGATTCGATGATGTCGATAAACGTCCTGATGGGCGGAGGTTCTATCGGTGAGAAAGTAATCGAAGTGTTCGAAAACATGGTAGTTCGTTGACGAGAGGTCTGGGGAGTATGGTGGGTAAGGCAGAACTTCAACGTTTGATTTGTTTAATTTTTGGACACTGATTGATTTGTGGAGTGTGCGGACGGGCCCTGTCATGGAGCAGGATTGAACCTCTTCTATTGATCAGTGACGGCAGCTGCTGACGCATTTTTTGGTACATTTCGTCAATGTCTTCGCACTAGGACTCTGCTATAATGGTTTGGCCAGGTTGCAGCAAGTTATAGTGAAATACACCAGCCATTGACCATCATACACTGACCGTGTATGGTGGTCCTGTTGTCGTAGGAGATCCTATTTTCATCACACGTGACGCTCCGACCCAAAACAGGTTCATTGCAGTTGCGCAATAACAATGTATCTGTCCACAGAAATTTTATTTCATAAAACAGTTGAAACCAGAGAACATAATATGTTCAATATTTTCAGAATTTTATTGAGATATCGACAAAAGAATTAGTTAGGAAGTTATGATATCTACAATTAAAATAGTACCCTCAACCAGTTCCCTAAGATTCTTTCAATTTTTTTTTGATGAACTGAGTTTACGGTCCTGATTCACTGAATTCTTCTCATCGGCATAATATGAATCATGCATTGAGTTACGCGTGGCCAACAAAATGGTATCAAATTTCTATTTTGAAAACTGGTTGTGGAATGAGTGAAAAATTAGAAAATAGAGAAAAATATAATGAATGTCTTTCAGTTCGTTAACTGATTGTACGTTTCAAAACAAATCAAATAACTTCTAGAACTCTGTCCGCTAACTGAGAAGGAGTTGTCACCGCTTGTTCCGTCAAAAAAATTGAAGAAAAATTCATAAAGATTGTGCATTTGCGTCATTTTTAATAATGTTAGCCATGCTATCATTTTCAAATTCCTCCGTCGGGGTAAATTTTTCATGACGATTTCTTTCTGCAGTAGAAATATTCAACCGATTTTTTTTCTTCTGAACTGAAATTTATCAGCATGAGATTAATAATAACTGTTTTCAAACCATTTGAAAGAACAATTCGTTCAGGCCAGTCTTAACTCCCTACACTGTAGGTTAATGGACTGACACCCATCGGAAAACAACTAAACCCCTGGCTAATACTACGAAGTGTGTTGGATTATATCCGACAGGTGTCAGTGCAGGATTCTTCACTGAAGTTATTCCCGCATATGCTGTTGGCAAACAACTCCCGCTATAGATTTTCAATTATTGGTACACATGTTCGGGCTGTTTGGCCACTCGTTAGTACGAGGTAGTGTCTATCATTAACATAAAGTCGATGATTTCCGATAATAGAAAATCGAATTCCTGCAGAGTATCATTCCTTGAACAAGGCTGAAGCGGACAACAAACAACATGTTTGTCATCGCCCCATCTGCCTGTGAACGAGGTAACCAACCGCATATCCAAAATCTGCCCATTTCCTCCCATAAGGAAAGAAAACTTTCCACATATAGTCAGTGAGCATACTTGTGATCCAATAATTGAAATTCTATTGCGGCAGTTGTATCGCCAACAGCATATGAGGAATAACTTCAGTGAAGAATCCTGCACTGATACCTGTCGGATAATCCAACGCCCTTTGTGGTATTAGCTAGGGAAGTAATTGTTTTCTGATGGGTGTCTGTCCATCAACCTACAGTATAAGGAGTTGAAACTGGCCTGAACGAATTGTTCAGGCCATACTGCATACTGCAGACACCCGTATACTGGCGCGTGGCACAAATACAACGATTTACACGTGTCACCAATTTCACCAAAGTCGCTTGTGAGTGGAGAAGCATACGTCCTCTTTTATGTAAAGAATGGAACAAAATCGCACCTTTATTTTTTGTTAATTTCTTACATAGTGAAATACAAGTTTTATAATTCAATTTCCATTGTGATAGTAATTTAATTCAATATTAATTAACGAGTTGGAAAAAAAAAATATATTTATAATCTATATCCTAATTTTTCCAAGTTTCACATATTAACAATGAATGAATTACGTCTAATTGTTAACTCCTTAGACAACAAAAACAATGTTCATGAAATTTTAAATTCCAAAATGCTCAAAGTCATCTTGAAACATGTGTACATATAATATTGAACCTTGTAAATACTTCTCTTCAAACTTCTAAAATTCCAAATCCGTTAAAAGTTAGTACTATAGTCCCCATTCAAAAGGTGAGCAATACAATCAAGGCCAGTGAATACAGACCTATAAATACATTACCACCAATAAAAAAATTCTTGAACTAGTTGTTTAAAAGCAGGTACTTGATCATGTTGAAAACTATGACATTTATATATAAAATTCTGAATACCTTATCACCTTCATATTTTTTTGAATTTGTTAGTTTAAATTCAGAAGTGCACAAATATGCCACAAGAAATCATACTAATTTGCATTTATACAGCACAAATAGGAGAAGTGCCATGAATTCTTTATTTTGCAAAGGGTTTGATACATTCAATAAATTACCAAATGAAATTAAAGCTAGTCCATCATCATGTATTTTTAAAAAACAGTTATTGAAATCCATCCATAATGCTTGATAGAATAATACTTGGTGAGATAATATTAACAAATATAGTATTTGTATGCTGTTTTCTGCTTTTTATCATTGTATTGGAGCTGCACCTATATTGCATTGTATTTTTAATAGCATACCTATACCATTATTTTTCAAACTGAAAATTTTTATTTTCAATTTTGAACTATATTTGCATTTTAAGTTTTTATTATATATAATTATTTTCAATTTCTATGTGATATGTTTAATATAATATTGTGTATCAGGATTACCTATTTCAATAAATATTTTCTTCTTCTTCAAATCTGTTTTTGTTTCTGATTTGATTTATAGCCAGTCTAAATATGCTTACTAACTATATGTGAAAAATAACTGTTTCGCTATAACCAATACTATTACGTACATTACCAATCTCGAAAAATCATTCATCGTTTTGATTTGCTGCAGTCTTTCAACAGCAATTTTTTCTTGCAGAAATCACCGTGAGTTATGCTGCGTTAACTTCTCACTTGCGACTGGTGTTGAATAGCTAGGAAGTGATTGTTGAGCTGATTGGACATATCGGAATCCATTTAATTATTGCTTCGATTATGACAGAAATGAACTGAGGAGAATATGAAATAACTTACCTCGCAGGTGGCCAGAGCGCACAGTCCAGCCAACACAGCCCAAGTCCACCTGACCATCCGCACTCTGGCCATACTCTCTTCGACCCGCGCCCTTAATGGCTAAGCCATCATCAGTGGTTTTACATGTAATCTGTAAGAAAATTAATATTCAGATAACAGCTGGAAAACAAATATTGTTCATATTGGAGCAATGAACTGAGGACTGAAACATTGGATGAAAATTATTGTCAGTCACATTCTCGGGTATTCAACTGAGAGGGTTATATTGATTAGAAATTAATTGTCAGTGCATCACTAACCAATATATTTTCATTAAATCAGCCTTTTAGGTTTTCAAACGTGTTGGTGTTACCGTCTGCATGTCAAGTAGATCCGCCAGTAATAATTATATTATTCACCGAGTGAAAACCTAATCAATTTTTAACTCATCTCTGAGTAGGAAGAACATTGAATATGGCGGCATGCTCTTTCTGAACACTTCATTGTACGTATAATAAATGCTAGTGTAAAAAAGCACGAACAAATATAATAACAGAGATTACTGAGGACAGTGTTCATTGAAGGAAGGTAACAAACTTATATTCATCTCCACAATCAAAAGTTACTATTTCTGCCTCGTCCATTTTTCAGTACAGAATGTCTGTGATATATTATGTTAATGGTTTGTCCATTTTCGAACAGAACGATGAAGAGTACCTTCCAGTGCTAAGATATAAGTTTTGTGATCGAATTTGATTCAACAGAAAAGTAACAAACAAACATGAGTGAATAAGAAAAAAGCGCCCAGCTTGAATGCTTCTTGTTCTGCTTCTAGAAAAAAAGATTGCTAATTGCCTATCTGAAGTTTAGTTGAAACGATAGCAGTTGAAATTTCAATAACATACTACCATAAACAACAGTTGAGTCTCAAAGAACACAAGAAGTTTTTCAAAAGATATATGTTTCGTTTCATTCGATTCGAATTCATTCTATTCTGTTTCGTGCCGTTTTGTTTCTCTCCGTTCTTCTCGTTTTCTTCCGTTCCTTTTGCACTCTACTCCACTCCCACCCAACTACACTCCAATCTATCCCACACCACTTCACTCCACTATATTTCGTATGATTCCTTCCCGTTTCATACCATCGAATCCCATACCATCCCATTTCATCAGGTCTCGTCCCATTTCATTCCATTTTAAATCTAAAGCAAATGAACTTCAAACGTTCAAGCCAGTCTCTATATACCTACACAGTAGGTTTAATGGACTGACGCCTATCAGAAAACAACTACTCCCCTGGCTAATACCACGAAAAGCGTTGGATTATATCCGACAGGCGTCAGTGCAGGAATCTTCACAGAAAATTTCCTGTATATGCAATTGGCAATACAACTGAAAGAGTCGACCTTCAATTCTGGAACGGGCACACTTGCAGACCGGTTTCGGGCTTATTAGCCACTTATCAGTGCAAGATAGTGACCATCATCGACCTAAAGTCAATGATATTCCACAATCGATTGGAAATCTTTCAGAGTATTTCATTCCTCTTCCGAAGTTGGAGCGAACATCACAAAATGTCACTCCATCTAGTGGACGAGGTTCTAACCAACTGCATATCCGTAATTTGCCCGATTCCTCTGAATAAGGAAGGAAAACTTTCTTATTAGTCAGTGGGCTATGCTTGAAGACTGTCGGATACGCCTGTCGGATATAATATAACGCCCTTCGTGGTATTAGCCAGGAGAGTAGTTGTTTTCTGATAGGCGTCAGTCCATTAAACCTACTGTGTAGGTATATAGAGACTGGCTTGAACGTTTGAAGTTCATTTGCTTTAGATTTCTTTACTGCCAGTCTTCAAGCATAGCCCACTGACTAATAAGAAAGTCATTCCATTTTTCCCTATTTCATTATTCATTCATTTTCGAATCGATTCCATTCGCTTTGAGTATTGATTATAAAAACACTATCATAATTGATGCAATTTGGAAGCATTCCTTGAAGTATATCTAGTTAGAATATGGTTTCAAAAATAATCCAAAAGATCGTGACAGTAACCAATAAAATGTTATGGAGCGATTATTTCCATGAAACTTTTCCTGCCTCTATCAGCTGTTTGAAACAGTTTTAGATAAAGTTTCATCGATTTCGAGTTTCAGGATAATGAAGAAATCGATACTGAAATGAACTTTTGAAAGGAAATTGTTTTCTCATAATAACTGTGTATCATGAAGTGAGAAAATTGAAATTTAATGAAACTGGATGATTATCGTGGTGGAAGTAATGTTTGAGTAGTTATAAGTATAAGGGATCTTTTGAAATGTGACATTGAGTAGGGATATCAATATCTTTAAGGCAGAATGACTTTTGACTTTTGTGAAGTATTATTTGGTAAACTGACGAAATACTCCTAGCAACTGTTGGATATACATGATTTCATTTCGAATTCTCCTAATCTCTCTCATCGGCTGACGATAACAGTTTATTTTCCTTCACGATATCCATAAAAGAGGTGTACAATTAGCACTAATACAGAGGATGATTGTATAATCAGGCGTTCACAAAATTTCGTGTTCACAACCAAATTGTTCTGCACAGTACGTCGGACAAAGTGATAAGAAAATTAAAACAAGAGTTTACGAAAGTATAAACTAATTGACGATTCCAGAAGTCTATACTTAGGTGATTATAACACTGAAAGTTCGTTCTCTAATCACATTCTCAATTACAACCATAGTTTTAGATATTTTATATGCGTTTGCCAAAAAGGCACTTTACTTAATTTACCCGAAATTTTTTAAATCAAATCTGCTATTGATAAACCTACTGTTATATCTCTTAATTTACAAGTACAAAAAGTGATTGCCAAAAGTTTTTTTCAATTCTCTTAATTTTAACTAAATTTCCCTGCCTTGATCTTCCATAAACCCTTATTTTTTCCTTATATTAGTGTGGTTGTACAGTTGTTTGGTAGTCAGTTCCAGTTGTATGACACCTTTTCTTTATTGGTCAGCAGAAGTCTCTTTTGGTGGTGCTGACCTGAACAATTTTTCTTCCAACCTATGAGTTGAAATGTAGTCAACTACATTTCAACTCATAGGATTACTTTCACAAATTTTTGTAACATGATGACATGTATTATGGTATAGGATCTGTTTGCTCAGAACACGAATCGATATGTATGTGGTGGTCCTTCTCCTATGGAATTTATTTCTTTATTGACAGTTGACTTTTCTTATTCAATTCAGTTCGGATATATTTCATTATAATTCCTTTTCATGTACCGTTAGATGATTTTGATGTTAATGAGTGAATATAAAGGCTCTAAGCCTTTATCTACAATCTTTTATGGTGTTATAAACTTCCATGGCTTTTACTACTTTAAAAAAATATTTTTTCATTATCATCAACATGTCAATGTGATCATTTGTTCATTGGTAGCATGTGACAATTTTCTTGTCGAATATATTCTTTTCTGCATACCACTATTTGTAGCTTTCTGTATGGAGTCAGGAATCAAATTATTGAAATTATCAAATTATTGGAAAGATAATGTGTCAGAAGAGTTCAATTTTTTGCAAAGAAAATCTTTTGTTGCTTTCTACTTCTCCATCATTATATAATTAGTGGTTAACTTTCGAAGACCGATACAAAATCGATATTTCACAGAAATGTTTTCATCTGTTTTTTCGTTAATCAGCTGTCGCCCTCTACGAACTGGAATTTTCAAAAGTCGAAACTTGTGCGAGCTGAGGACTAACGATGTCTTACTTTTTAACGTGTGATTCCAAACACGATATTAAGTGAAAGTCAATTGTCCGGCCTTGCGGTTTGAACCATCGGTTCACACAGCGGTCGATTGAGTGAGTAGAGCAAACCACCCACGTCAACCCATCAGGCTACCGTCCTATCATGTGTGAATAATAATTTCATTGGTAATTTTTTCATTTTCGTGTTCGATGGTCAACAAAATTAATAATTTTCGAGATGTTTCCGAAAATAACTGATATTGATATTCGGATATTATTCATTGTAAGTATAAAAAATGTGATGTAAGATGAAAACACCAACATCATCTTCATTAATTTGAAATACCTCTACAAAATTTAAATCGAATAGGAAACCATTCCACCTCTTATCTGAACGAAACATAAATCACAAATGAATTGGACAAGTCGGTAATTAATGAAGTTTGCATCCGTTTAACGACTCAGTTATTCTTCCTTTTGTTCAAAGTTACAAATGCCAACTGTGCGATTTTGATATAGATAGTCGCCCGGAACACTTCAAAAAGAATAAAAGAAATGCTGTGCTGTGAAAACTGAACACAGAGTCATTTGTTTGGGAGTTATCTCCCACAACAAAAATGCAATAACCGTCGTTTTATAGAGGAACAATGCTCGATCGAATTGCCGTAGGTGAATGCTCTGAATTTATTTTTATTTGAATATTACCCACCGCATGGAATATCTAATAGAAAATATTTGTCTTTGATACTCGGTCAGAAATTTTCATTATATGTAGGAGATGACGAGTAACCCTGGATCGGTTGAATGAGAACAGTCACAGCTAAGCATTCTTGGAGTCCACACGTGTTGTTTATTAATGTTCGTTATGAGATTAGAATAAATATTGTATTCGAAAACTATGTTACCTGCTAAGTGTTCCTTACATCTCATTTTAATAAATCTTTTAGTCTGTCCATAATATTTTGCATCGCAGTCCTTACATTTAATTTCATAAATTCCAGACTTTTCCGATTTCTCGACTTTGTCCTTTGGATTTTCTAAAAGGCTCTGTATAGTGGAGTGCCTGGAGCATTCAAAACGGTAAAACCTCGGATTAGAGTTATAGTGAATGAATTGATATGATCGAAGTGGGATACTGTTTTTTAAACTATAAATTGCAATGTTTACCCAAATTTTTTTTGTGCACTCCATATATTTTCACTTAAAACAGTAATTTTTTTTATTTATATGTTAAATCTTACCTGAGTAGACATATAGGAACATTTTTCAAAGATACCTGTGTATAAAAATAGTAGTAGGGATCTCGAACACGTAGAAAAACGTGGAGGGGAGAGCGGAGCGACAGCTGCTATGTACAATGGAATTTCTCGGCCAGTTTAATTATAAATGAAATGTACTCTATTGTGT